GGTAATTCCAGGCAGGGGGGTCACGGAAGGCCCGGGCGCTGGGGGCCTGGGGCAGGAGGTCAGGCGGTTGTCCCGACGGGAGCACCAAGCTCCGGTAAGGAGAGACGGTCAGCACAGCGGCTGGAAAGGCCTGCGTGCGCCTGTCTGTAGGTTTCCAAGGGCCTACGGAGGTCACGCGGGAGCTTTCCCAGCTCCGCTGAGAAGCTGCACCGTATTTTATGCTCACTCTTCTTGGTCGCCTGCCTCCGTGTCGCCCACGTCTGTTCTCGCGTGGCCTTCGCCCGAGTTCTGCTTCTCCGCCGCCTTTATTTGACAGTTTCCCTCTGCTCACTTCTCCTTGTACGAACTCCTCTCCCCAGGGAGCGGGGGAGCAAAGGGTTCTTACAGTTTTCCTCGCGCCTTTGTTGTGTATTGGATGCCAAGCAATGCCCCCCTTTTTCTCCTTTCTATATAAGTATTATATATAACATGCCCACGCTGATAGGGGAAATAAGCTTTTTTAAAAGGTAGTTTCGGGTCAGTAAGGGCAAGAGTGGCGCGGTCCCCCTCAACGGCCCCGCGCTGTTGAGAAGGGGGCAGCGGAGCCGGGAATCGCTGCGGGAATCTGGGAATGCCGGGGCTCGTTCCTGCACAGGCGTGAGCCCGACAAGGCCCAGGAAGCCGAGAGACGGGCAGCTTTGCAGAAAATCCCGTTTCTGTTTTGAAAGGAGAAGTGACTCCTTACGTTTTACAAAAGTAATTGCGGGCTTGCCGATAACGTTCGGGACTTAAGGAGAAAGACGATCGAGTCTCCTTTTCCAATGGGGGGGGGAGACAAACCCCAACGACAGCGTTCCCAGTGGGAAATGTCGGTTTCAAGAGCCAGCACCGCTATCGGGCCCTCGCCTCTCCTGTGCCTCCCCCGTAAGGCTCCGGCCGGGAGGCCGAGGTCCTTCCCTCGCCCCCGGGCGGGTCTCAGCACCTGCTCCGAGGCGCGTGGCCCCTTCTCCTTCACCAGCCATCGCCCGAGCGAGGGGCCCCTGAATATGAGGTCTGATTTTACAAAAATTAACGCGACCCGTTGGCCATTTACTAAAGTTCCCGAGAATAGTTCAGATGAAGGCCCCGTAGGAAGTTTCACTCCCGCATTCAAGATTTTAGAGAAGGAAGACTTACTTTCAAATTGAGATCTGTGGCGAGGGCGCTGGTTAAAGGCTCCCACCCGTCGCCCGGAGGAAGAGCCCGTGCGCCTCCGGCTTCTGACGTTTCTACCCCCTGGCAGGCGATTCGACCTGACCGGACACTGGCTTCCGCACCTTCAGCCCCCGTCAGCTGCGAGGGGGAGGAGGGGGCGCCACAGTCGGGCCGCATGGCGCGGCCTGGTCCGCTTCGTTCCTGCAACCCGGCCCACAGGTAACCCTGAACCCTTCGTTTTATGAACGAATACCAGCTCTCACAAGGCTGACGCAGGACACGTCACGCCTGCTGCGCCGTCAGGAGGACAGCAGCTCCACAAGACGCCACTAACTATAAAGCTGCGTTCCGAGCACAGCCAGGCAGAGGTCCGTGAACAGGTAGGCGTCCCCTTCGATGACGTCAACGGGGAGGCGGCTGCATGGGCCGGTGGCAGACCGGTCAGGTCCTTGGAAAGCCGAATTGCAAAACAGAACTAGTCCGAAAGCTGTTAGAAAGAAGGTTACACTGGCCCGGCCGGCGCGGCTCAGTGGTTGAACCAAGAGGTCGCCGGGTCAGGGCACAGGCCCAGGTTTGCGGGCTCCATCCCCAGTCGGGGGCGCGCAGGAGGCGGCCAATCGATGACTCTCTCATCATGGATGTTTCTATCTCTCTCTCCCTCTCCCTCTCCCTCTCCCTCTCCCTCTAAAATCAATAAAAATTTATTTTTTAAAAAAGAAATCAATTGCATTCCTGTACACCAACAATAATAAAATAGAATATGTAATTACAAAACCCCAGAAGGTTACATTTAAATCGGTTTCGGAAACTTTCACTTGTGCCGTTTGGCGCTCTTTGCGGCCTGGGCTGCATTTTTGGGAAAGAAGCTCCCAGAGTTCAACCTGCGGGGGAATTTTTCCGAGCGGTTGGGAGAGTGACTCCCCCGTGGGCGGAAGAGCCTTAGCCCCGAGTTGAGCCGATGCTCAGCTACGGCAGGAGCGTCCTCAAAAATAGGTGNGACCTGACCGGACACTGGCTTCCGCACCTTCAGCCCCCGTCAGCTGCGAGGGGGAGGAGGGGGCGCCACAGTCGGGCCGCATGGCGCGGCCTGGTCCGCTTCGTTCCTGCAACCCGGCCCACAGGTAACCCTGAACCCTTCGTTTTATGAACGAATACCAGCTCTCACAAGGCTGACGCAGGACACGTCACGCCTGCTGCGCCGTCAGGAGGACAGCAGCTCCACAAGACGCCACTAACTATAAAGCTGCGTTCCGAGCACAGCCAGGCAGAGGTCCGTGAACAGGTAGGCGTCCCCTTCGATGACGTCAACGGGGAGGCGGCTGCATGGGCCGGTGGCAGACCGGTCAGGTCCTTGGAAAGCCGAATTGCAAAACAGAACTAGTCCGAAAGCTGTTAGAAAGAAGGTTACACTGGCCCGGCCGGCGCGGCTCAGTGGTTGAACCAAGAGGTCGCCGGGTCAGGGCACAGGCCCAGGTTTGCGGGCTCCATCCCCAGTCGGGGGCGCGCAGGAGGCGGCCAATCGATGACTCTCTCATCATGGATGTTTCTATCTCTCTCTCCCTCTCCCTCTCCCTCTCCCTCTCCCTCTAAAATCAATAAAAATTTATTTTTTAAAAAAGAAATCAATTGCATTCCTGTACACCAACAATAATAAAATAGAATATGTAATTACAAAACCCCAGAAGGTTACATTTAAATCGGTTTCGGAAACTTTCACTTGTGCCGTTTGGCGCTCTTTGCGGCCTGGGCTGCATTTTTGGGAAAGAAGCTCCCAGAGTTCAACCTGCGGGGGAATTTTTCCGAGCGGTTGGGAGAGTGACTCCCCCGTGGGCGGAAGAGCCTTAGCCCCGAGTTGAGCCGATGCTCAGCTACGGCAGGAGCGTCCTCAAAAATAGGTGATGGCCCGGCCGGGCGTGGCTCAGCGGTTGAGCGTCGACCTGGGATCCAGGCGATCGGGGTTCGACTCCCGGTCGGGGCACAGGCCCGGGTTGTGGGCTCGATCCCCAGTCGGGGGCGCGCAGGAGGCAGCTGATCAATGACTCTCATCATTGATGTTTCTCTCTCTCTCTCCCTCTCCTTTCCTCTCTCTGAAATCAATAAAGATATATTTAAAAAAAAAAAAATAGGTGATGGTCCTCAGCATTTCCACCCTCCTGCTGCTGACCCCTCTTCCCCTAGTTACTGGTTTAGCGCGTGGAGGGGAGTTTGCAGCGGACGTGTCCGCAGAGGAGGAAGGTCTCACAGCTGCGCTCGCCGGCCTGCGCAGGCCAGGCCCTTTAACCCTCGCCGGGGTCGCATCTGTCACAAACTCACGTGGTTCCAAGAGAAGGAAAAGTCTACCGAGTGAAAGACTCGCCTTTTTTTTTATCATCCTTGCGTCTTACGTAATTTAAAATAGTCATAACAATGAACCCGTGTATTTAGACGAAAGCCACGGCTGTTCAGCGGAAGCCGCGAACACTCCTTGTTTGCTAATTTTAAAAAAACCACACACAACAGTTCGGTGATTGGCGCCGGCGTTTATTATGAGACAATGACAAAAGGGTGCTGGTGGTTTTAATAGTTTTAGCGGACGAGGGCCGCCGTTAATTTCGTCTGTAGTGCTGCAGGTGAAAAAATGCACAATGAGAAAGTCTGTATTGGTTTAACCGAACGTAATATATAGTGTGTGCGGGAGTTGTTTGTCTCAATAGACTGGAGTAATCAAAAGTAATGAACCTATTATGTGCAGGACCTTGGAGAGCGTCAAATGGCAGTAAAAGTGTGGCGCATAAAAGGTTTATTAAAGGAAATTAAAGTCCATCATTGCCACACCTGCTCCCCTATTATAAGTCTACGGCGGGTCAGTGCCTTCAATCACGGCTCAGCCGGGAGCAGGGCCGGGTCCCGGCTGCCGTTGCGGGCGCGCGTGTGGCTTCCACGCCGGGGTCGGGGCGCGAGGGCGGGGGCCGAGGAGGGCACCTTCTGCCTGCGCCTCGCTCTCAACAAGCAAAGCAACTTCTTCCTGTTGGAGAAGCCCTTCTGCCAGTGCGTAAAAGCGAACCAAACGGAGGCGCTGTCGGGGGCCGGCTGACACGGACGGACGGGCCCGGGTCAGACTCTGCCCCACGGGGGCAGGGGCGATGGGCGTCTGAAGTTTCTGCGTCCCTCTGATAATGTATTACTCGAGTATATTTAAAATATTGGGGGGGGGTGTTTTAGGATATTTACTGACACACACGACCCTCAGATTTCACCTTCCTGATGGATGGGGATGGTTATGACCGATATTCGTCCTGGACTTCTTCGTAAACGTCTGTTGGTTTTGATCACCATTTCCAATGGTGTTTTGGAATTAGGGCATTTTAGGGAGTTGCCTTCGTGGTGCTTTTTTCCATGGGGGAATTATTTTTTTCTGACTTGGCAAGAGGTATTTAGACCCTTGGCAGAGGGTCCAGAAATGCAAAGGAGTCAGGTTTGGGTAAATTAGCCTGAAACCTTTTGGTCTGGCATTCGAGGCTGTGTCTCCTTCATGACCACTGTGAATCAGACGACCCTTTTTTCTGTCCTTGTGAGGCCAGGAGCGTTTGAATCACCGGCAGACACTTATGGGCAAGGACATGTGCCCCCTTGTCACTGCTCCCTCTGGTTCCGGCATCTGTAGAAGTATCTCCAAACCTCGTGGAGCGGGAGGGAAGTCAGGGTCCTCTCCCCGCGGTCAGGATGCTGTCCACGAGCACGGACGTTTGCTCTGGTTTTCGCAGTGGCCTGAAGGGCTCCTCATGATATGTTTTCCTGTTTTGGTCAGTGTCCAAGGAATGACCTCAGGACTTGTGTTCATGTTACAGATGGACGCGGAGGCCGAAGATAAAACGCTGCGTACCCGCTCGAAAGGGGCGGAGGGTGAGTGAGCTAGCGGGTTCCTGGACCCCGTGCCCGCGGCACCATGAAATGTGGGTTTCTCGTGCCCAGTCCCTGCTGTTAGACAGAATGAGCACAGCTTCCTCCGGGCTCTCTTTTTTTTTTTTAAATTCTCACCCGAGGACATTCTTTCCATTGCTTTTCAGAGAAAATAGAAGGGAGAGAGAGAGAGAAACATCCGTGTGAGAGACACATCGATGGGCTGCCTCCCTCCCTTGCCCCGATCAGGGCAGGGGATCGAGCCTGCAACCCAGGTACGTGCCCTTGGCCAGAATCGAACCCGGGACCCTTCAGTCCGTGGGTCGACGCTCTAACCACTGAGCCAAACCGGCCAGGGCAGGGCTTCTTTTTTGTAAATCAGGCTAGAAGAGTGGACCATGGTGTTGAGAGGCGGAATGTTATGAACCAGGGCCCCAAGAACTCAGAAAAGCCCGAACGACACGTGATGTTCATTTTTACAAAATTCAGTCATGAGTAGACTCGGGTATCGTGCAAAACAACGTAAGGGTCAGCGAGGGGCGACTGCTTCACGGAGGCCTGCCCGTTGCTGAAGGGACCTTTAGTGGCCAAGGGAGAAGGCCGAATTGCCAGTTTATTGCCAAAGTGGGTTTTACGTTGTCTGGCTTAGTGGCTCCCGGCCTAAACTTAGTTCAAGTGAGACGATGCTGTTTAGTTTTTGACCGTCCCTGCTGGGAATCTTCCGGCAGCTCCGCAAAGAAACGTTTGAAAGTTTACCTTGTCGGCTGTCCCTCTCTTGCTGTAGCCGACAGGCTANGCTCCGCAAAGAAACGTTTGAAAGTTTACCTTGTCGGCTGTCCCTCTCTTGCTGTAACCGACAGGCGGTAACGTAACACTGACGGACGAACAGGCCCTCGCTGACATAAACCTCCAGAAAACAGGGTTGACCAGCAATACCACACCTTAAGGAAAATCACTGTCATTGTAATCAGCTGTATTTTTGTGACCCTTCCTTTTAAATGGAAAACTGTAGGTTCCCCGGGGCCTCTGAAAACCCTCTGGGTAGCCGCTCCCCACCCAGGCTTCTCGCAGGCCCGCCTTGGCGAGGAGGACTGAGTCGGGTGGCAACCGTGCGATATTTTGGGAGCATTTTTGAGATTTATAGCGGAAAGTGGCTAATCCAGTGGAATGCTTTGGCTAGCTCTGTTGATCTACATAGTCAAGGTCAATCATTCCTGTTTGAGTAAGGTTCAGAATCCCAAAGTTTTAGATGAATTCCAAGATGATTTTTTTTCCCAGTTGAAATGTAATTACAGTCATCATTAGCCGTGATAACCACGGTGCAGAATAATTCTACATGAGATGTGGGGCTTTTACCTAAACAGAAATTTTACACTGTATTGTTTTCCAGCTTTAGTTTAAGTTACTTTAAAAAAAAAAAAAAGTGTTTTTATTGATTTCAGAGAGAGAAAGGGAGAGGGAGAGATAGAAACCTCAGTGATGAGAGAGTCACTGGGTCGGCTGCCTCCTGCACGCCCCCTGCTGAGGATTCATGTTCCCTGACCGGGGATTGAAACGTGAGCTCCTGGTTCATGGGTGGACATTCAACCACGGAGCCACGCCGGCCCGGCTTAAGTTACTTTTAAAGTAATTGCATCATATAGTTTAATATTTAGAATGCAGGATTTCTAAACATTAAGTTTTTATGCAGCAAACTTCTCAATAAAATATAAGGTTGAGAAAAAGTGTTCGTATCAGTATTTAGGATGAGCTCATTTCCGCCATAAATATCAGAGCTCTAGCGATTGTATTGGGGTCACGTAAATCTCTTGCTGAGGCTCCTAAAAACACACTGCTGTAGCCTCCTGGCAAATTGTGGCTGTTTTAATTTGCGATGTTTTTGGACTTCCATTCCTTGGGCACATACACCTACCCACACCCTTAAATAGAGCCAGCATGTTCTTCGAGAAATGAAGCACCTGTTTCTTGTGTGGCAAGAGTAATCTTTAGGGCCACCCGTTGTCTCTCCCGGTATGTGCTGATCCTGGTGTAGGAAGGTATTTATAAACACGGATCCTTTAGTTCCCACCCTCTCAGTGAGAAAAGCCAAAGCTATTTTTTCCATGAATTGCTTAATTTTTAAAGCGATGTTGTTATCAACACGGCTGATGTTTACCCCCCCTTCTGTACGTGTGGCATTCATGAAACAAATCTTGGGACATATCCTTTAGCAAATCTTTTGCCACTTTTATGCATATACTTGTTTAATGTCAATAAAAATGTAAATGGGGGTGTTTTTTGAAAATTTTCCTATAAACCATAAAATGGGTTCAACTGATTTTTTTAAAAAAATTCAAATCTTGGTGCCCCTGTGATTTTTGAATGTGTCTCTAAAGATGAGTATTTGGAAAGTCCAACCCATGACACCAAGTTCCCAGGGTCGCCTTAGGTACTAAACCTAGAATCGCCTCCGTCTGTTCTGGGCCATATACATTTGTCCCCTTGTCTCCAAAGAACCAGAACCAGAAGAAAATCAGTCCCCTCCGAGGGAAATTAAGTGGGGTCTATACTGACCATGGTCATTATGTCTAGGCAGGTGAAATATTTCAGCGATACAGTTTTCAAAATTAACTGGGTTTTTTTTTTTTCCCCAACAGTGCCAATGAATTCTCTAATCCAGGAGCTCAGGTAAGATTTGTCTCACACCACTTTTGAAAACATCGGTTTGCTTTAATTATTAGAATGTTCTTGTGTTCAGAATCCCTGTTTTAGTATGAGAAGTAAGGCAGTGGGTTTATTTCACGTAGCCTCTGTCTCTACACCGAAGAAGGGGAAAAGTATTGATAATTAATCCAGAACTATCCGAACTGCTCTTGTGATAACAGAGCCCGCAGCGTTTTGCTATAACGTGAGTCCTTTTCCACTTCTCTCTGTAGAGCGCCTCCTGCCTCTGCGCACACCACGCGTGTCGCTTGTGTTTACACCGGTGAGCTTGACTGACAGATAACCACGTCCTAAATTCTCTGCTTTTTTCTTAATACTCAGATAATTCTACCAGGTAACCACATGATTTTTTTTGATGTAGACATTTGAAGATGGTGTGACTGATGGTCACCTTAGATACTGTAAATGCACCTCAGGTAACATTAGGAAAAGTCTACCTTGATCGGTGGTGGTTGGTTTTGTTTTTTTTTAAAATATATTTTTATTGATTTCAGAGAGAGGAAGGGAGAGGGAGAGAGAGAGAGAGAAACATCCATGATGAGAGAGTCATTGGTCGGCTGCCTCCTGGGGATCAAGCCTGCAACCCGGGCCTGTGCCCTGACCGGGAACTGAGCCGCAATCTCCTGGATTTTGGGTTGATGCTCAACCGCTCAGCCACGCTCGGCCTGGCTGCCTTGATAGGTTTTGCAGAATAAGCTCTAATTAGATTTTCTTTCACAGTATCTGTGCAAGGTACAGTGCGTGTGTGTGTTGTTTTTATGTGTTGTTTTTTAAGTAAATGTGTCTTGTTCTTTGAATTCCCTAAAAATTATTTTTTTATCAGATATTTAATTTTACCTAATTTGGCATTAGACCAGCTCAGAAAGCTGGTGATAATTGCTAGAAGAATTTATAAACAAAATTAATTCACCTGTTTTTCTTGACTAGGAACCAGCCTATAGAAAGTACTGGCTCCTGTTAATTTTATAATTGCTTGTTTCCCCCAGAGTGATGAACTTAGGCTGAGCAGGTCCCACGTTTCTTCTTCAGTGGTTTGAATTGACCCTGATCTAGATGCTAATTATCATTCTGTGCAGATTCTTGATAAATAGTTCTAATTTATATGTTAGGCTATGTTTTTAGTGTCTCTTTAATTTTGTAAAACTTCATTCGTTACAACTGCTCCCCCGGGTTTTTCCTCAGGTTTGTTGTGACCTGGAACCCGGAATTTGTTTGTGCCTGAAATTTGAGTATCTTCGGCAATGTCGCATATTTGCCTCAGTACAGAAGTTAAGGCTGTTTTGTAGAGAACATTTAGCTTTTCTTCTTAGAATGCGTTGGGCGTGCTCTTGCTCCTAGAGATGCCACTTACAAAAATATTAAACCGAAAGAAGCTAATTTAAATATACTGCGTAGTATTCGTGACGCTAATAAAAATTGATACTGACATTCTCCTGTTCTTAGCATACTCTGTGTCAGCTGCTATCATCACCATTAAAAAGGCAATTTATAACCACAGGCCCGCCTTTCACCGTATTTCTCATTAGCATTTCCCAGCCTTTCCTCCAGCACGGTTCAGGTTACAGGTGGTGCTGGGAAGGCTCTCGCGCATCTTTCTAAATCACGACCGTCGCTCTACCTTTGCTCTTTTCTTACTGTTATCCTCAATCGGATCCCCATTGTTGTCCCACCTGCTCGTATCGGTGATTGTCTCATTCGTTGGAAACGTGTTTTGACACCAACCCGGCCCCTCTGCTGTAAGAGGAAACGCGTTCGAGCTTCTGCAATGGCTTTGCCATGTGAGCGCAGGGGTGAGAGGGAGACACGGGGCACGCGCTGGCCGCAGGCGACCGGATTCTGCCTCTGGCTCAGTCACTGCGTCAAAAGCCGTGTCGAAAGCACTGAGCTTCCCGGAACGTGGCTCGCGGGCTGCACGGGGATGGCGCCCCTGTCCCGACTCCTATGAGCGCGTCGGCCCGATGGGACGCAGGCCGCGGGACTGCGGCCGCTCACGCCGCTCCTCGCTGTTCCCTGCAGGGCCACCTTTCCCTGCTGCCTCCAGGCCGCGCTCGGACGCGGAGCCAGCCCACTCGCCAAGCCCACCCCCTTCTCCCTTTGCGCCCGACGCTCAGGAGCCCTGTGTGCGGCCCGTGTGTGCCAGCTGAGCACGAGTTGCTGCCGCCGGGGGGTGGATGTCGTGGGGGGTCTCACCTGTAAGTTCCCTTCAGACTTGCTTCAGCCCAGTATGGGGCCTTTTGGTTTTTAAAAAAGCATGTTTTTATCGATTTCAGAGAGAGGAAGGGAGGGAGAGAGAGAGAAACATCAGCGATGAGAGAGTCACTGATCGGCTGCCTCCTGCTCGCTCCCTGCTGGGGACGGAGCCCGCGACCGGGCCTGTGCCCTGGCCGGGAATCGAACCGTGACCTCCAGGTTCGTGGGTCGACGTGAAGCTACGTTTTTAATGTGTCACATATTCTTCCGGCAACTTGCACGGAGAATGCGTCACGGTGGAAAAGCCGCTGGAAAGCTGTTCTGGAGCCCAGTGCTGCTTAGCTCCCTAATCTGGTGCACTCCTTGCTGAACCCTGAAAAGCTAGTGAATTTGACTTCTGAACGTATTCCCAGCCCTGAATTTATCATTACTTGTATCTGACTATTGTTTTCCTCAGTCGTTTTTTGAATAACATTCCGGGCGCGCGTTGTCATGGAAGGAAACACCGTCTCGAATGAGAATTTGAGGCCTTTCGGTGGAAGCGTTTCTCAGATACGTAACCAAACGTTTCCCTCCGGTAAAAACTCAGATATTCTAGCGATATTTTCATAAAACCAAAACCGCAGATTTGAAACGCGGCGCTGAAAGGTATTTGGCGCATTGATCAGGTTCCCAGGAGGACCCGGGCTATTTAACGCAACAGTCTGATTGAGTAGAACAATAGATGCAGGGGTGTTTTTTCTCTCTTTCTTTCTCATCTACTAGAAAAATATAGATAATAGAGCTCATTTATTTCCTTAACATTTCAGAGCTCTGCAGATGGGAAAACACAGCCCGGTGGAAATTATTTCTGGCAACCTTGAGGAGATGTGTTAGCATTTGGTGGCATTTCTTTCAGTGGCGTGTAGAGCACGGCTTTCCCTCACCGCAGTGTCACAGAAGTGTCACAATGCAGCCGGAATAGCGCGGCCTCAGGGGAAGCGGGGAGAGGGACCGTTTCCGCGCGCACACAAAGGGTAATATTTATTACAAAGCCTTTCACTGAAGCCCCACACGCGGCCTGGGCCAGGGCTCCTTCGCCGCAGAGAAGTGCGCAGAGTGCGAGACTGAAACGCAAACGTGCTGTTACATCGAATGTAATTCCTGTAAATATAAATAATATGTAGAAAAGGGGGAAATGTGTGTGTGGGCCCACGAGCAGGCGTCGGTCCGCACGGTGAGTCGGGGGGAGAGTTTTCGATGCGGCGCCGGGGCGGCGTCCGCCTGATGCTGGCGGAGTCCGGGGAGCACTGGTCTGCGAGTCAGGACGGCTCTGTCTCGACCTAGTTTTGTCCTAACGGCACAGGTGTTACCTCCTTGATCTGCAAACACGTGATACAGAAATCGGTGTCCTTGTCTGATGGGTAAGGAATTTGGTGTCCCAAAGGGCTCGATTATTTGTTGCAGATTACGCAGCTAATGTTACCCGAGGAACTTCATGCACGGCGGAGTATCAAACACGGTAAATTTATTTTAAGCTCAATTGGTGCTTTTGATAAAACCTTGTATTTCCTCTCTGTCCTTGACGCGGTTATTATATCATCAAGCCCAAATGCCGAGCTTGGTTTTTCTTGCCATTCGATATCGACTCGTTGCTTTCATTCTACTGCTCGTTCTGGGGTCTCCGTCACACGTTGCAGCTTGTTTTCGTCGCTGCGGGTCCGTCGCACCTCCAGAGCGAAGGAGCACGGCCTATACCTGCGGCCCTGGGGTCGCGGCTTCCTTCCCGCAGGGGGGTGGCTGGTGTCAGGCTCCGCTCCACCCAGTGCCGGGTGCCTCCGGCAGGCCCCCGGGTTCGTTGTTCGGATCTGGCTCGAGCAGGGGCCTCGGGCCACAGGCTGGGAGTCACGTGTCAGCGCCACCGGCTACCGGATGTGTGACTTGGGGACTGTAATTCGTCTTTATAAGTCAATGTAGATAATAATGTCAACACGACAGAATTCGTGAGGGTCTTACAGGTAGTAGACGTGTCGTCTCATTCATCACCCCAACCGTCGAAGAAAAGAATGACATTTTCCTGGCGGCAGGGTCCTTTTTAGCCCCCCCCCCACCAGGTCTCCTGGATCCGTGTCTCCAGTGCTGACGAGTCTTCATCTTCATAAACTCGCTCAGCCTCTTCCCATTGTTCTGCGTAAATTGGTTTTTACAGTCCACTTTTCTTTTTCTGCTTTAACACCTGAACGACGTTTTTCAGGACTCACGTTCACGTTCTTCAGCCTTCTCCGCCTGAGGCAACGGTTTAGCCGCCTTACTTGTGTTTTTTCCGAGCACCTTCGATGGAAATTCACTTGCTTTAGGAGACTTTAGTTCAGGGAACTTCCCGAACTCTCTTCCTACACAGCTGGGAGACTCACCCCCCAGATACGTTCCTTCTGTCCCTCTTCCTTCAAAGGCCGATCAGTCTTGACAAAGAGGCGAGTGTGGGGAGGCCCCGTGTCCCTGCGCTCGCTCTCACGGTGGCACAGCCCCGCGACAGACGGTTCTCCTTGACGAGCCGGCGGGCTCAGGCCAAGGGAGTCCCTGTTTGCTGCCCCCTTATAGAGACGGGCGTCTGCTCTCCTGGCCTCCTGACCTCCTGGCCCTGTTCTCTTTGGCTCCATCTCCTGTGCACGGTCATTTTAAATGTGGGCTCCTAAGAGAGACCGTACAAAAGCACATTAGTTCCTTTAGGAACTGCATGCTTCTCTTCCTCAGAATAATTTTAAATTCTTCTATTTTAATCTATTTTTGAGATTCCTAACCCTCTGGAATGATCTTTCTTTCCAGAATCTTCCCCCCACTCCCCCCAGAATAGTACTTTTTTCCCCTGAATTTTTTAATCTACTCTTCTAAATCCAAGGATTCACATATGACTGTAATCTAATCATCCTCTCGAAGGGGCCACCATCTTCGCATTGACGTTTCCAAGAGAAGGACTCGGGGTCTTTGTCTAGTTAGTAGCGTTACGGAGCATTTCACCACTTGTTAGTGATGGGGTCAGTGATAGCATGTCACCGTGAGTCTAGGATTCCCCCTTCTGGATATTTTCATCTAAAGCGGTTGCATTTTGCCCCGAGAGCATTTAATAAACTCTCTCTCATAGCCTCGTCGTTGGCTAAACCCTCTGGTCCTCCTGGATCTCGCCAAGAGGATGTTTGTCTTACCTTCAGTGCGTTGAGCGGCCTACATTAAACCTGAGCGAGCCCTAGGTAGGAAATCTGCTTGGAAAGGGCCACCCTCAGGAGCGGAGTAAAGACAAATCGCTGGCTGTTTTCATGGGACCCAATCTTATGTCCCCTCCTTGGATGCATTTGCTCTGTGTGCCAAAAGCGTGAGAATTTAAGAACAGAAGAATGCCAGGTAGCATCACTTTACTCTTTTGGGGGTGGGGTGTTTCTGGAGGTGGGTCGATTAAATGTTCATAGCTGTCCCCTCCCTTTATTTATGCTCCTTTCTCCCAAGTCCAAGCTCAGGATGTGGCGTCTCAAGTCTGACATGCAGCCGTGGCGGAGATAAGCAGTTTGGGTGGCAGACAGCTATTGAAAAACCTTGCGGCTCATGCACACTGGACATGGGTTTTTTTTTGTATCCGGTGGTGATTTTTCACGTTAGCTGTTTCTTGGGATTAGCAAACCAGTGCAAATCTCGTTTCATAGTTCCCTGGGCATTTAGTGTAGTGCCAGGCCCAGCACAGATTAACATATGTTTACCCAGATTAAGGATGAATTTTTTTTCTTTAACTCTTTTGATAGGCAGTAAAATAGAATCCACGGTCGATTCAATGGATGGTCTGTTTCGTTCATGCCATCAAGAGACCCTAAGCCCTCAGTCCCAGTCTGCACAGAGGCTGGGCGATACAAACGTCAAAGGCAGGTAGCGATAAGCCATCTAACCGTGCTCTTCCTGTGCCTTCGTTGCTCCAGCGCCGCGTGCGACTGCTCCATGGCGAAGAAGAGGAGAGCCGAGGAGCCGGCCCTGGGCGTCCCTGTCAACAAGAGGAAGTCCCTGCTGATGAAGCCCAGGCACTACAGCCCGAGCGCGGCCGGCAAGGAGGGGCGCGGCGCTCGGGCCGAGGAGGAGGGCCGCGGCCTCCTGGGGACCGCCGCGCACCCTGGCACAGGTAGCCGGGGGCCCCCAGCCGCACCTACCCCCAGGCGCCCGGTCTTAGCTCACGTAGAACACGGAGGCCTTGCGCGTGCGAGCCTGGAAGCAGCACTCGGTATTTCTCTCGCTCAGAACCCGGGTGCCGAGGCCCGTTTTAATCTGTAACTGGGGAACGTCCGAAGATAAGCACCGCAGAGGCCTGGCCCTGAGTCCATTTTCGAAGGGCAGGGTTGGACTGTGCCTCTTTTGGAAGCATATAAGAGCTACTAAGCCTGGAAGTTTAACACCTTGGCTCTCAATTAGGGTAGATGTCTAATGCCTGAAACAAAAGGACGGGTTTCAGCTTTAAGATACTTGAGACATGACTGACATGAATAATACGTTCATTTTTGTGTCGCAGACACATATAGTAGTATTTAGCCCTCAAAATATAACTGGCGATGACAACATGGACCAATGCAGGTGGAATGTGACCTTAATATCGTCAACATTTAAAAAATAAGTATTGAAAGCAGTTGATTAAGCAAAATAATTACTTCCCAGCAAACCATGCTTCGTCATCTGACTCTCCCCAAGCTCTGACTGCCTTCGCAAAGCAGGCCGGGCAAAGTTTCTGCGACATTAAACCAACATTTCCAGAAATGATAGGTCACAGATGCTCCTGCCTCTGGTCAGAAGAGCAAAACTCTCTAAGTTGTGTTCAGTCCTTGGAGTAAGCTGCCCCCCACCCGGAAGGAGAGAGAGCAAAGGTAGGGCCCGAGCCCAGGGTACGGCCTTTCGTCTGCTCTCGCTGACTCCTGGAGCTCCAGCGTCTTTACCTGGCCAGGTGTGTGCCCAGCTGTGTCTTCAGTGGGCAGCTCAGGTGCTGAAGAGGGGGTGGAGTGCTCATGAAAGTTCAGACAATGAGCTCGGATCCCTTTAATGGCAGAACTAGACCCAGTGCCCTCCACGGGCCGTCTTTCAAAGAGCCGCAGGTGGGCATGAGGGGCCACGGGCAAAGCCGTGCGGACACACCTTTACCGGAGCCAGGAGAAGGCTGCCCGTTGGTGGGACGAGCAGAGGCTCCCCCGATGCAGACAAGGAGAGGGACCCCCAGTTACAGCCACAAGCTCATGATCATTGCAGGCTTTTCTTCCCAGAAAAACTTACGTATTAAAGAGGCCTGGAAAGCCGATTTACCTATAATAGTAACTCGGTTATAGAAACAGAACAAAAATATAATAAAATCCAGTTATACTAATGGAGTCAAACTCCAAATAGGTTGTGATTTTCAGAGGATTTCTTTAAAATTTTTTTTTTTGGTAATCCTCACCTGAGGTTATTTTTTCCATTGCTTTTCAGAGAGAGTGGAGGGGGGAGAGAGAAACATCGCTGAGAGAGACACGTCGATTGGCTGCCTCCCACACGCACCCCGACCAGGGCCGGAGATCGAGCCTGCAACCGAGGCTCATGCCCTTGACCAGAGCTGAACCCAAGACCCTTCAGTCCTTGGGCCGACGCTCTAACCCCCGAGCCAAACCCACCAGGGCCGTCCTGCTTTTAAACATAAGGACCCAGGACTCAGAAGACCTGGGCCTGCTCAAGGTCACACAGGCAGGTGGGGCAGAGCCAGCCACTTGCCCCTAGTCCCTGACCCGAAAGCCACAGGGGTTTCGCCTCTGCACTGTGCATTGCTCACAGGCCCTCCAGCTTTCCAGGGCAGCTGGTGACCTTCGCCGCAGCATGTGTGGTGTGGGTGGTATCCCAGGTCGAGCCTCCTTAGCACTGCAGTTGAGCTCAATTGCACTACTTAACTCTAAAAATGAAAAACGAGGCCCACCTAACTTATGTGGAGGGCCCCTGGTATCCTCTGCCGTTACTATCATCTAAAATAGTATCCAGGGAAGGGGGAGGTCATTGCTGAACACCTGTTGGGTGTCACCTGCTCTCCATGGCGCCCACGTGACGTCCACAGTGTGCCTCGCTGTGTCAGCGAGGACGCCAGGGTCAGAAAGGTTCAGGGACCTGTCGGAGTCTGAACAGAGACCAGTGCCGGGCCCATAATCAAACCTCAGTCCCTCTGACTTTAAAGGCGGGAATCTTCGAGATGTGTCAGTGGCAAAAGCACAAAGTAAGTCACTTGGCCACCAGAGAGAATAGAAACGCACTGGCATAGAGAGGTAGGGCCCGGCCGGCGTGGCTCAGTGGTTGAGCGTCGACCTAGGATCCAGGAGGTCACAGTTCAATTCCAGGCCAGGGCACATGCCCGGGTTGCAGGCTCGATCCCCAGTTGGGGGCGTGCAGGAGGCAGCCGATCAATGACTCTCATCATTGATGTTTCTCTCTCTCCCTTCCTCTCTCTGAAATCAATAAAAACTTATATTTGTCTGTAAAAAGAAGTAGGCAGCCCATTACAAAGTCAGGAGCAACAAGCGTCTCGTCCCAGATCTG